TAACTTTATTCAATTTTGCCTAATCATCTATACCTTTTTTTTTTTTTTTTATAAAAGGTGACAAGTTATTACCTGTTACGATAATATGAAATTTTAGATTTTACAGTCAAGCATGCTACTAATTTTTCATCGCTAAAAATTCGTTAGATTCCAAAAAAAAAAAAAAAGGAAGCAGTGGAAAAGATATTTTTTTTATCAATTAAATAAATTTTATTAATTTAAAATATAAGAGGTATTTCTACTTATTCATATCAAGTTTTACTAATACAAAAAAAATGATATAACTATTGATTTAATACATAATTCAAAATTACAAATTTAATCATACAAAGAGAATTCACAATCATTAATTAAATCCTTTAACTATAAAAAGAACTTGATCTGTATAATCCCCACCAAAGCATCTGCATTAGTCTCTTTTTGCATCAATGAAAAAGATTAAATATTAGCTATGCTCATCATGCCTGCTCACTCACAACAAATATTAGCTGTGCTCAGCATGCCTAGGCTGCTGAAAGAAACTTGTCCTCCAAAAATACTTGCAAATTCTTTAACTTCAAAAACCAATGGTTTCTCCATCAAATTTGAGAAGAAATGCCAACATGATCAACACAGAAAGAGAATTTATGTGATCTTTCTCCCAAAGAACTCAAATCAACACAAAAATCTTACTTTTTTCTTTACTTTTAAAACTTTGAGATTACTTTTTTTTTAAGAGTGTAAAAGATGACAATAAAATTTAAAATATAATAACAAATATTAAATCCACTAGTCTTTTTGAAAAACCTTGCTATTTTTCCCACTTTAAGACCTCAAGACTGCTTTTTCTTTGAAGTGGAGAAAATGACAATAGGACTAGTCCGTGAGAAAAAAAAAAAGGATTAAATCTTCCTTTCACATTTAACATATAATAAAGGAACTTCTTAAAAACTGCAGAAAATGTGATAGATTTTAGAATAGAGAAAGACAAAATTATTAAGCAAAAAGAGAAAACTGACAGTTTTATACGAGTATAAAGAATGCTACAGGAAAGAAACTCAAGTTATCCAGAACAAAGACATTCAATCAAAGGAGTATTTGTATAGGAAACACAAATGGAGAAGGTCCAAGACATCAATTCTCCAACTAGTTTCCACTTTCAACACGTCTTTTAATATATATATATATATAAT